CACCAATACTTCTTCCTAGGTTTGTTTTAATCACCTCCAGTGAGCAAGAACTGGGAACAGGAAAGTAAGTGCTCCCTGGCTGGAGCTCTCCAAAGCTGGACCAACACAGCACTGCTGCTGCTGCAGGTCAGTAACAGCAGCAGGTAATAAGCTGTGAGAGTGTGAAGGGAAAGGCATCTTGCCAGTGATCTCTGGCAGCTTGCTTGCTTAGCCAATCATTAGCTCCCAGAATCCCCTGGGACCTCACATAATTGTGACCCCCAGGCCAGGTGCTGCATTACAATTGGTTATTCCATATAGTCTTGGTAAATGTATTTCTGCCAGAAGACAGGAATATATTTCAAAAATGGCACAGCCCGTTATTATGTTGCAACACATAATCATAGCTTCTAAGCCCTGTCTCCAATCCAATGCTACAGTTGCCAATTTATCACATTTCAATTATGTGATGCATGATAGACCACTCCTCCTCATGTGTATTCCCCTCCACATACCACCAAATCCCTGTCTGCCAGTTAAGGACATGCTCTAATATAAACATGAGATCTCCTGGATAGAAGCTAAGTTGGTACAACCCGGCTGGCATACATGACTATGGTCCATTTGTTAATATTTATCCTAGTTATAAATTCTTTTAATGACGGGGAAAATTCTGTTAAAACAAAGTCATTTAAAAAACCTTTGTTAAAATTCACCTACTATCTATAGCCATGGAATAAATGAATTATCGCTTAAGATTTTTACAATGGGTGTATTTCTATAAAAGACTTTGGATTGCTGTCCCTATTACAGAACCCTGTGCCAAATCCAATGAAGTTGTACCAGGGATATACCTGGCCTTCTTTACATAGCCTTACCTGCCATAATCAAAAAGGATGAATATGCCTACATGGATATACACACCTTTAGAGAGAGGCATCCTTCACAGACACTAAAATAAAGATCTCTTCATACACTTGCATTTTCAATTGCGCCCTTGAAGTTTTCACATTGTTTGTTTCAAATAAGTTTATTTTTGTATGATTGATTGAATTCATGAGCTGCAATTAAGAAAATTGCAGCGGGGACCATTAAAGGGATAACGTCTTTTTCTCCCCTTTCCACTAAAATGTCAGGTTTCAGTGTCACTGTGAGATAACCCAATCGTGTGCTTGTACACTGCATGCACAGACTGAAGTAAGAGTAAAAATGCCTGGTATACTAATTACAAATGACTAAAAATGACATCCAGTAGCAAGAAAATGAGAGGCCCCAATCCTTATTTCTAAGCTGCCAAGGTGTATATGCATTGTAATGCAGGTTAGGGTGAAGCTGCCCATTTAGTAAATATATAAACGTTCATCCCCACTTGTAGATTAGCCTGAGCCCCTCCCCCATCTCTCTCTGTCTTTTATGCCCTTTCTTTCTCTCCAATTATAAAGCAGCACCAGGTTTTCTCATCAGCCATCTCCATGTCTTCAAATGGCTTTTCAGTGTCAGGCCTATCAGGAAATTAACTCATCATGCAGTGACAGCTGCTAATTTTTTCCCCTTACATGTCAGATGGATCGCCTGCTGAAGCTAATAATGAATCACCAATCCCTGATTAGAAGGTGCTTCCGAAACGTATAACTGCCATCTGAGCTAACTTTTTTCTTCGTATAAAATGATATCACCCTAGAGGAGTAGAAAACGAATTGTATTCTTCAACAAGATGGAACAGGGGTAGGCTGTTTAAGTGAGCCGTGTGCTATCTTAAATTATGGGCTAATATTGCACAGTAAAATAAGTGAAAACTCACAGCTCTTTTTTATTTTGCCAAATGAATGACCTTTTTCTGTTACTTAATCCTCTCACTAGAACTAACTCTGTTTCAAATTTCAGGACTGGCTTTTCTCTTCATCCTTCTCTCCTGCTTTCTATTCTATTTATTGCTTTTGTGCATGGCAAAAGCTACAAGACTGAAAAACGCCCTGAGAATTTAGTTATGGGGGCACAAGTTTGCCCCAGTGTAGATTCTGTTGTCCTATTGTGCCAGTGGCTTGGACCCCAGTTCTCAATCTCCAGGTATACTGAAAGCATACCAACTTGAATTCTACCTTGGGTTCAGTCCTGGGTCAGCCTCAGGCAGAAGACTTCACTGTGCAGGCTTTCCTACAGTGATTATACAGTCTGAACCCACTGTCCACAAAAATCACCAATATCTCTTCCAGGACCTCACAGTCCACATCTCTGATATTAAGGTAGCATTTATAAATGACAGCACTGCTTGCAACATTATGCACAATTCACATGTGCATACCTTAGCACATCAACTATTGGCTCTGGCTCATCTGACTTCCATGGTGAAGTTCAGCTGGTAATCAGGCAGAATAGTATGTAGCTTTGGGCACTTTTTGTTTTGTTTTTGTTTAAGGCTTTTCTCTTTACTAAACAAAATTTTCACAACCTCCTCTCATCTTCTGTTTCTCCCAAAAGACGAAGGTTGAATTCTTCAGGAAACATTACCCTGGAAGGAATATATTTGACCCTAAGAAGGTGGGGGAGACGCTGCTTGCTAAAGGCACCTATCCAGCCTCAATAACATTTAGTTGGGAAGAATATCAAAAAGAAAGTAAAGCCAATGGAGAACTCTGGCAGGAGTCATAACAAGAACTAACTGTGTTACAATTGATATAGGACTATTGCATTTTTAACACCTGAAGTCAGAGGGCCTTGTTCTATGTTTTATCACGATGCAAAAGCACTTGAAGGTATCCAAATGCTTACAACAAAACCCACACTTTTAAGAATTAAATGTTGCTTATACTCTTCATATCTAGGATCCATTCCGCAAGGCTGTAGTTCCTTAAAGAGGAGATACCCCAATGTGGAGGGCTCTGGCACTATTTAATCCCTATATGCCAGGCTACACGCAGGTAGGTAGGGCGATGCTATACTACAGCATCCTACAAGAAATGAGAGGGGATGTCCTAATCCTGACTCTATACAGTAGCAGTTCAACTACTCTATGACCGTTTCACTGTTAAGGGTTACCAGTAGTCTATCTGCTGACTGCATACCACAGCACCGCATAGAGTGTACAAACACCCTTGCTGAACTCTTGTAAGCTTACTTTATCCTATTTATACAAACACCTGGAGGCAGGACTTCCTGTTTTTCAGGACCAGGCTTGTCATTTAGTGAAGAACTGATGTGGCCAACAGGGCCTTCAGTGAATCTTTGGCAAAAGGATGAATTTCATTCCAACTTCTAATGATGCATTTGTAGGGTACAGATACGTTAATTTTAAAAGTGCACATTTAATTAAAAAAATAGCTGTCCTGAACAGGTAGTATTTGAAGAGAGAAATATTGTTAACCCATGTTCCCAGGTAATTACAGCATGCACAATAGGTTAGTGAATCTTTTCCAATGCTCCCACCCTAGGAACACTTTCTGCACAGTTTTTTTTTTTTATGCAAAGGTCTGCTCTTTTCATTGTGCATACAGTGTGATTGCTGGTTTGACACTGCAGGCTACACTGGTTTTATGAAGGATTAAATGCCACCTGAGACATATTTATCCTAAATAAATCACAAATGGTAAACTGCAGCATGTCAGTGTCAACACCCTGTACTGCAGCAGAAAGGTTAGCTATACAGGACTAAGCACAGCTAAGAATTAGCATCCAAGCCGCAAGACCACAGGGCTCCAGTTAACAGGAGAAATGATCAAGAAGAAATATTTCCACTGAAAAACATTCCGTTTTTTGAACATCTGTGAGAGTCTTGGAGAGGGCCATCATTTTGTAAAGGTCACCTTTATCCTGATAACAAACGGGAGTTGATCCTGTCACTGTTTGCTGAAGACAGTATTTAAGAGTAAGTGAACAGCCTGTCACTTTTAAGAAAGATGAGCAAGTCAAACTCGGCTAATTATGAATCTCAGTGTCTAACTTGAAATTTACTTTTTTTGGGGGTCTGACACAGACACAACCTTAATTCCTGGAAAATAAAAAAGAAAAAGAAAAGAACCAAAAAAAAAAAGAAAAAAAAAAGAAAAAAAGGCAGCAGAATCTTCTAGCCCTAGAGTGAGGCACCTTTACTATGCACCTCCCTTAGAAAATCCATTTTAAAAACTACCTTGAAGAAAGAACTATTGTTTCACCTCACCCCAACTTTTTTTTATTTGATGATTTTAAGATATTAAACATGATAGGAAATATAGTTATCTCCAGAGTCTGCATGGTTTACGTCCTAAACACTTAGACAATTATATTAAGCATGCATGAGGCACACTTCAGAAATTAGATTCTTTTATCTTTATCTATCTAGCCAGAGAGAGGGACAGAGAAAAGCAAAGAGAAAATACACAGACATAATAGATAGCATTCGTTTTCTGCTGCTGAATGCCAGTTCTGTTTATTGCTTAATATTAAAATCATGATGCTTCATTTTAATGCTAACATTTTATTTGAAAGACAAAAAAAAAAACCCCCAAATCCCTTACCAGTTCATATTTTTAGAGAAACAAAAAGCAGTTGTATCATGAAACAAATCTTTTCAACATGAACTTGCATTGAACAGTTGCAGTATACCCACCAAGTAACTGACATTCTGGTCTAAGCAAGACATACAAGGTCACCTTTTTTCTACTTGTTAATGTCAATGTCAGAATTTTTAGAAAAAAAACCCAAAACCCTAACATTTCAAAAAGTCATTCACAAAATGAACTTCAAAATGGTATTTATATGAAGCACTATTTGTAAGAAAAGCAAAACATGAACAGTGACAATATTTTTTCCCCAAAATGAACATTTCAGATGTAGGACTCTCATATTTAAAATTAAGTAGAAACTACAGAGAGTAAAGTTATTCTAAACCAAGTTTCCCCCCCCCCCCCCCCCCA